AAGGATAAAATACAAAAAATTTGGAATACAATAGAAGAAACACAAGATTTAGACATATTATTAATATTACATTCATTATTAGAATTAGTTGGAAAAGGAAGAATGGATGATTCATCTTAATGCCAACATTTTAATGCCTCGCGCACATTATTCTTTTAATTCTTTTTGGTGGCTCTTGTGTCGTTTATTTAAAATATATGATTTTTAATCTTACTACCGTTGTTTCCTTTAAGGATCAATCCGCAATTTTTTGGGAAAGCTTTCCACTTCCGATCTCCAACCCCATTAACCATTATTGCAGAGGCAAATAATCCTGTAGGCAATAAATTCTGTTTGCTGAAAGATAAAAAACACATACATCAGTCAATAGACTACATGATAAGGTGACAATGAACATCGAGCAGGTCTGTCGATGAAAGATTAACGGTAAACATCGATTTTACGAACCTGCTCTCGGTTTGTTGCGTCAATCTGTCGTCGCGCGCATTGCTATTAACAGATCTACTCTGATATTCGCCGTTAGGATATGATTCCAATTTTTGTTTAGCATTTGGCAACGTCTTACTCCACAGGGAACAGGGATTCCACATGCACGTGGTTAGCTGGAAAGCTAGAACAAAAAAATTAATTATTTACATAATCTTTTATTTTATGAGAATATTAGCTAATTATCTGATAGATTTGTCTATTCTTCATTTACCTCTTTCTATCTTCCTCCGTTTATGCTTCTTATATCTTTGCACAGGTTTTATTCCGCAGTTGAAGATAATGGCAAACTGATTCCAGAGTGCGAAGAACGATGCTACAACTATATGAGTGATATTTATCGAAAAACATTGAAAAAATTAAAAAATATTAATTACTAATAATAATAATAATAATAATATTAATAATAATTTATTTATAATTTTTTACCTCGTTTATCCTGTATGCACTTTGTTTTTTGTCATTTTTATTTAATTTAATTTTATTTAAGTGCCACAATGTATTTTACATTTACATTTATAAACTATTACAGTCGTAACATATTTATTATACACGCGTGCACATTATATGTCAAAATGTAAAAAAAGTTACGCAAACTGACAGCTATACCACTTCAACAGTGTTGCTAACCCGTAGAAATTATTACGACGCTCTTAGGGATTTTCGTTGGTACCAACATTATTCCCTCTACTTTTCGGGAAACTGTCGTGTAACCCACAAAAGTGTGTTGAAAAAAAAGTTCATCGGATTATTATGAAACTTGATACCCTTATGTTTTTTGGGTCTCTGAATCCGAATATGATGTCAGATTTACAAAATTCAAATTGGCGGGTCCAATATGGCGGATCAAAATAACAAAAAATAGACGAAATTTTATTATTTTGAATTTTGAAAATCTGACTTCATATTCGGATTTAGAGACCCAAAAAACATAAGGGTACCAAATTTCATGAAAATCAGACTTTTTTTGGTAATTTTGATCCGCCATATTGGATCCGCCATTTTTCATTTTGTACATCTGACTTCGGATTCGTAATCAGCGATCCCAGAAACCCCCGAGTAACAAGTTTCAAGCAATTTCAGAAAGTTTTACTTTGTTTTTTCTACGTTGCGGCTATAGCCGTCATACATAGTCAACGGGTTAACTAAAATGCTATAGTGTACGCATAGAGATATAAGAATAGAGTGCGCGAATCATATGCTAGCACGTAAGAGGCTGCGATATAGGAATAGAAAAAAAACGCTGCATATAGGCCCTTTCTGTCTTTGTCTACGCGTGCATGCGAAACAAAGACAGAAGGGGCCCATGCGCAGCTTTCTCTTTTTATTCTGCGCAGCTTTCTCTTTCTATTCCTATATCGCTTTTTCAGCTCGCTCGCGCACTCTATTCTTATATCTCTATGAGTGTACGTGACGTAAACTATAGATTTTAGTTACCCAGAGTGACGTTTGGAACGCAACCTGGCGTGATCTTTATCACTGTGTGATAAAGCTCTTGCAGTGTCAGAATAGATGTATACATAATGGATATGATAAATATTAATGAAATAGAGGACATTAATTTGTCAAGCGAAGATGAAGAAGTGCAAATTCGTGTTCCGAAACGATATATCCGCGATGGCGAAAATCCTTTCGAGTTTTATAATGAATTGGACGTCAAAAAAAGATTCCGTTTTGCAAAAAATTCACATATGTTTAGTATTTTACCGTTAATAGAAGAAGGACTTTCAAAAATTAACACGCGTGGTTTACCAATAACACCAGTTTTTTCAATTATTAGTATTTCTTTACGATTTTATGCAACACAGCAAGTTTTCAGGTTAGTTCAAATTGTATTGCAGTTTAATTAAATTCACAATTATATAAATATTAAAAATCTTTTATATAAGGTAAAAATATGTAAATATGTATGAATATATAAATATTTGTAAATGTAAAATATATATATTGTTGCGAGAATAATATCGGTTTATTTTTATAGCTTGTCATGGGAGATGTAATAAAAGTATCGCAACCTACAATCTCGAGAATTATTTTTTGAGTGTCAATTTTGTTAGTCAGTCATATTAATGTATACATCAAGATGCCACTATCAGCTGTAAAAAGGATTGAAAATAAACGTTTATTTGAAGAGCTTGGACGTGTTGAAGCTATAGGTTTATCTTCTTTTAGTGGAGCAATCGATTGCACGCATATTCGACTGACACATACTAGATTTCAAGCCATTGATGAAATATTTAAAAATCGAAAAGGATATTTTTTGTTAAATGTTCACACACACAAGTAAGTATTTTAACAGTTTTAATTTATCCCTTCGTTTTCTACCGACACGTGTGTGACTGCGATATTCTCGTTTCTGTTCCGAGATGTGCGACTCTCCGTATCCACACCGTCTTGCTACGACTTTTTAATTAATGTATATATTGTATTTTTGACTGCTGCAGAACTTGAGTGGAAATGTCCACCATAATCATGTGTACCAGCTCGTTTATCACGACATCTCTCCAGGAAGGGAGTTTGCTACCTCGAGCCCTGCAGAAATAATTTCCTGTTTGTGCTAATAAAGCTGAAGATGGCTCAAAGGAAAAGCCGAAACGTTCTTTACTTGTAAATACACGTTTTAATTTTTATTGCGCACCACGTTCCGCGCTTGACTCGCATCGCCGTTTGTACAGATGACATTTTCACGAGTCTAGATATATTATTAGTTTTAATTTAATTTTAACATTACATAATATCATTACAATGTTATATTGAATATCGTCATATTTTTTAATTGTAGAAAAAACATTTCATTACATACTTAATATAAAAAAAACGTTACATTAGTAATTACATATTAGTACATAATAATAATATTTAGAGCAAAATAAAATTAAACAAAAGAAAATAAAAATAAAATAAAATGTATATAATTTGTACATGGTTGTACTTTATTACACGCAACTGACTAAAGCGGGGAGCATAAACTTTTGCATAACATAAATGCAAAAGCCTGTGCTCAGGCTTTAACATTCTAACATTAACATTAACAGGGACTGTCTTTTCTTATAGCAATGTAATTTATTTTTTTACGGATAAGTCTATATTTTTCTTATCTACGTCGGTATTTTTGAGCTTTGATTTCTTTATTTCTATTTCTATTTTTTGTATTTCTTTTAAATGGTTCACGTGCAAATCGTTAAATAATTTTAAATGCTCTTCTTTCATAAGTGTTATTTTTTTCTTCGTGTTTTAACTTAATGTTTGCTAATGTTTCTTCTTGTTTTATAACATTTTTTAATCTTTGTATTCGTACGTCCTCTTCTTCATTTGATACTTCGAGCAGATCTTTTCTCTTTTGTTTAAAAACACGTGATTTTCTCATATCGTTATTTAAATGTACTTTTAACATATCTGTACTGTGTGATGTCATCAGTTCTTCATTACAGTCTTCTGCAATAATAACTGTTCTACAAAACACAAAAAGATATATAGTGTTACACGTGTATTTTGTACTTGCCGTAGTCAAAGAAATACGCTTTAATGGATAAATATATAACAAAACGTTTATAAAATAATATCTTGCGAAACAGTAGTGCTTTCTACATCATCTATGTTTATCACATGTCCCTTTTCTTTCGTAAATAATACTTCTACGCCTTCGTTAGCAGACATGATATCAAATACAAACTTACGTTGATCTGAAATGCACAAAATAATGAAAGTTCATTGTCATGTTTGATATATCAAAAGCATGTGTTGCTGAGACAGCTTAGCCGTAACTTTAACATACGGTACATACGACAATGTCTTACTTTTGGTGACCTGTAGTATAAGAGTTAAAAAATATTCTTACGAAAACTTTATTCTAAAGTCTAAAAGTCTAACAGTTAATTAATATATAATATACCATTACGTTTTTTTTCCGTCATATTAGATGAAAATATGACTGGTGCGGTTTTCATCA